GAGACAAACATGATCAAGAGGTTAATGGATACCCAAGTTCAGGACGCTCAAGAAAAACTTGGATTCCTCTCGGAAGAGAAATACTTGAGAAAGAGCGCTCTCTTCGCAATCGGTGCACACACTGGTAAATCTATTACTGAAGATGACCTACGTAAAGTGGTAAACATTCGTCACTTTGGCAAGTGCCGTCATCTCCCTGGTTATGATATTATCGAGGGGTTTAGAGGAGGCTTAGGAATGCCAAAAATTCCTGAGACCCTTGTGGAGCTATTTCAAGGTGGTTCAGTACGTGGACCTAAAGGAATAATTCACCGCTACCCTCAACCTCAAACCAAGGGAGATCATCATTACTTCCAACTCATCAATCATTCACACGTACCTGTCCGGGTGGAGTGTGGCATGGCAGGAAACGACGTGAATCGGTTGAGATTCTGTCAAAATGTGCCGCCATACTCCTCCTACGAACGTGTTGCCACTGAATCAATGTGGTGGACTTTTTCCACTGGCGGAGTGTTCACCATGTATTTGAGTGGTGAAATTACATCCTCTGAAACGCGGAACCTCAAGGTTTTCGAGTTTGCGTTGTCCAACCCAGTCGTAGGCCTCTGTGGATCAGCTATTTTAGAGAAAGACCCACAACTTTCTGTCCACACTGGTGAGGATTGTTGGAAACAGATGGGTTGTAATCCCAGTCCGCCTATTTATTTTGAGCACTGTGACAAATATTATGTGGTTCATGGAGGACATACTTGGTCATTTTTAAGAGGAGGCGTTCTTGATTTTCCTGGCAAGAATGGATGCCGAACATGGCGGTTTGTGATACAAGAATACGACCCTCTCGAAGATCTCGAGGCAGGTCCGTGACTTTTCTTGTAATGAAATGTGTTTGACACTATTACGGTGCTTTCAAAAAGATTTGAAGTAGGTGGCTACCTCGGTAAAGCACCCGCCGGAGAATGAAATGGGAAACAATTTCCCTCTCGTTAGTCCATCAGTTCCATTCAGAACAAACTGGCTTCAAATGAGTTTTCAGTGTGAAACTTCGGTTAATAATCATTAAATATTAGTTTCCTCAATTTGTAACAATTGTTTGACTGATTGTTTTATTTCTGATCAAAATCTTCCAATTTCAGACATGCAAACCTGCTCCCTGAGTTTTATACATAGGTCCCATGAAAGGACATATGGTCATTGGTTAGATAGATAGATAGCTAGATAGATAGATAACTTTTATTATTTACTAAGGCAGAATTGCATGATTATTTACAATACAATACTGGCTAAAATTATAAATTATATTTCCAGAGCATATTATTTACAAGAATAATATACAGACCTGTTGTCTACACATGGCTGGTAAATATGCCTGGGAGAAACGCTTGGTGCGCATTATTGGGTTAAAAAACTGACGTTGATCTCTAAGATTATAAGTAATATGGTTCTTCGGTGGTAAAAAATGATGAAGCTTGTGCTCGGTATTGGACACTATTGGTTCCAAAAAATTTATTACATTACTCGATGATACGTCTATCCTTCTGTGAGTTCAGCTTAAACAATGAAAGGTTGTTGAGATGTGATAGGCCAGGTGAAATTATAGATAGGGCGCGTTTTTGAACATGTTCTATGTCGTTGCTTAAATAATCAGGCAGTGTACAATATTCAAGTACAGGTCTAATACAAGTAAGATAGAAACTGAAGATATCACGAGCCGGAACTTTGGCGCGCTTTAAATACCTATGACACCATATTTTTCATTGCATTTTCTTGTTGATAGCTGTATTTAAAATTAGAAATAATCGATCTGAACGCCTAGCGAGTTCTCCTTGAGCATTTTTTTAAGCACTGAAGCACGAATTGGCGGGCAAAAATTGTCCTCGTCAAGCGCGCGGCCAAAGCGATCATGTTACATAGCTATGACGTAGAAAATTGTGACGTCACGTCGGCAACTATGGTGGAGAAAGGAGAAATCAAGAAGAAAGGACGAACGTATTACCTGGCCGGAGCGCCAAATGATGTTAGCTACAAAAATAATACATATATATCGGGTATTTCTATACACTACTTTCCAAAGAGATGTAGCTGTATGGACAAGATGGACGCGTTTCGATCGTCGAGATCGAGGAGATTTTCCTCTTCAATGTCGTCGGCCTTATGCTCCGTACCGGCTTCGAAGACGCCTGTTACGGATATATACCACTAGTCAAATCAGGGGAAGATAACCAATGAATTCAGCCTAAAAGGAATGCAGATTAAGGGGCCTGTTTCCACACCGTACACGATTGTTCAACATTCTTTTCGACTGACATTTCGCAAGCGAAGACTGATGGTCTCCTTTTCGCTTTTTTTCGCTTTTCTTATCGTATGAAAATCCTACCAATTTAGTTTCCATCCTATTTTAATAACAGAAATACATAATTTGTAATGAAGTTCAAGCTCTTTCCTGAGCTGACCGATATCCTGTTGTGTGAACGGTACGAAACCTCTGGCGGATACTGGCATAAACACAAGCTCGAAAGGGCCGTGGATTCTCTGAAAATCCATCCCACGAGCTATCAAATCCCCCCTACCCTCAAGAAACTGAAAGTAGCAACATTAGCAGTGTCATTGTGATAACAGCACTGCAACGAGATAAATAAAGAACCACAAATTTTATTGAATTAGATGGTAGCGAATCCAAGTACGAAATATTCATTTTCAATACTGATGTCAGTTATTTCCTTTGAGCGGAATGGGTCGTATGGCAATGCTGCACTAACACTAAAGAAATTTTGCTTTATTAAAATCCCCATTTGAGATGAATCAGATGACTATAACCTCACCGTTTTCCGTTCGGTTTGACCGGCTCGACGATAGCGACGATAGCCTCTGCCTTTGCAATCTCTGAGGAAAGAGAAACTTGCAGTGAAACTACCCGATGACTTCTCGGTTAAAAATCATCGTGCCTCGTAATACAGCTGATTCTTTCCCCAAAAGTTAGCTTTTGGTTTATCAAGGGACATTCTCTACAGCAACGAAACTCTAGAGCACTGACTAAACACAAACGCAACAGCTAAAAATTCAGCAACGGGTATTTTATGTTCTAATCGTGACCTGAACACCGCAGGCGAGAAACCGTCTTTGTTAGTCTTCGTCGAAATCTTCGTTTGATGCACGCGGTTCTCCTTCGTAGGGCTGAATCGTACTCGAAACTTCTTTTTGTTCTAATTTTTTGAGTACGATGTATCGCAACTCTCGGTAGAACTTGCTCGTTACCCATCCACGGCACACTTTCAAGACAAAGTAAGAGCACTTTAGGGCCCAAAAAAACCGCGTTTTAATTTTTTGAAATTTTTCATCTATCGGAATTGGTTTTTACATATGATAAGCTAAATATTTACGCAAAAAAATTTTTTCGTGTCATGGGCACTCCAAGCAATATGAGAAAGAACATCCGCCTATTAGCCTTAATAGGGAAATGCGTTGAACAATTTCAATGAACAGTCCCTAAAAATCCTGGATTTTCAGTTTAGGGATGAGGCCTCACCTCTGAGTGAAATCCAACCAATCAAATCTAGCCGCTCGAAAATTAGGATACCACAAAGTTTCTTGTTGATTTATCAGCCGCGAAATGATGCTATTAATTTGTGGGGATTCGATATGTATAATATTTCGTGGCGCTAAGACGGCCCTTAAAGAGTCTGGGGAGAGCATGCATCTATGAAAGATAGCGTTGTGAAATATATGTGAAAGATTTTTGTGGGGATGACGGTATAATTCTGTTTCTTGGAATCACAGGATCACTGGCTTTTAGAACAATCATTGCATATTCCAATCATATTCCCCACGAGTTTAGTATATTCATTAGTTGGTCCAACTGTCATAGTACCATTATATGACTGTTACACCACATATTGTGTAACTTTCAAGATGGCGACCACGTGGAGCGAACTAAGGCCAACTTTGTCTAATTCAGTTTTAGATATCACGGACAAGTTTGGCTTCCAAAAGATGACACCAGTACAGGTAGGCAAAGGAATAATGTAGCTATTACCTAACAAATATGCTTTGGTTTACCACGCTTTCTTTGTTATACAGGCAGCCACAATTCCACTGTTTATGTCAAACAAAGATGTAGCGGTTGAGGCGGTGAGTTTGAAACTAAGATTATTTCTAATTTCCTGAGCACGAAGAGCCCTGTATTTTTTGGACTTATTCAAAATAATTATTCGTTTATTAGTATAATAATAATAATGCTGATTTATGCTATGTACTGCAAACAGTTAATGAGCTGTATAAATGCTTGAATTTCCTGGAGGTCACCATTTTGGCTTGTATGACATTACATGGTTGCCACCATCATCATCAGACAGTAGCTCTTTAGTTTGTACAAATTCTAAGGGGATTGTGCAGATACTAGCAGCATCATACAATTGAACTTGGCGACAAGTAGAATTCCAGTTTTAAAACAGGCCATATCTGTTTCCATCTTGTCTCACACTAAGTACTTTCATTCCCATTTATGACAAATTTTAGCTTCAAAGGTCATTTGTTTCATCAGCGGAGGCTTCCTTTCTTTGAGGCTTCCTTTCTTTGATACTTCTAGTGGTAGGCTGGGAAAAGTCTCCTCTTTGAAATAGTCCCATGGATTATATTAAAGTTCAGATGGCAACTATGTGGACAATCAGAAATGGTTTGATGCTATTCTGGTTCAGAGACTCTTTTATAGGCTCATTAATTAGGTGCCCTTTTTTCTGATGAGGTGTAAATAGGCATAAATAGGTGTAAATAGCTGTCAGGAAGAAACTACAAGTATATGCTTGAGTTTTCTTGAAAAGAAAGGATGAAACTAGAACTTTGGCTTGTTTGACTCATCCTCTTCCTTATATCTTGGCCTGCCCTCAGCTTGATGGTACAACCCATTAACTCACTTGAGTGATGAAGACAGAATTTCTCCTTACAATATAAATACAATATCAAGCAGACAAGTAATGAGAATGAACAAAAACTCCAATTAGGGAATTATTAGTTGATTCAGTATCAAATTCTCAGAGCTAACATTATAAGAATTGTATGGCAAACAGTAAGGAGAATTAATAATGAGATCTTGAGGGTTGAAAAGATTAAAAACACATACTTACAGGATTCCCCTCAGTTCTTCACTTCAATACAAGAAACCTGTAATCTAGCTTTTACCTAGCTTTTTTGGAGGGAAAGGCATTAGATCTTATCCTTAAAGGTGTCAAGATTTGTGTAAAGAACACCATCATTGGCAATGACTTTGCTGAAGATATTTTGAACATTTCTGAAAATGCCCTGAGGAGCTGACACAAACATTGCATTAGAGCTCTTTTACAATGGAAGATTCTTGCTAATTTATAATGATTTTTGTGGACTTTTCTGTTGTTGTATTAATTCAAGTTCATTCAATGATATACATTTTCAGAGTTGTGCGAGTTAATCCTCTGACTGTTAAGAGTAACTAGCATCTCCATTTTCCTCGCAATACCACACCTGAATCAAACACTAAAGAAGCTCTTGCTTGTTAAGCAAATTCTCCTTGTCAACACCTTAGGAAATGTATAGAGAACTGTATGGAGAATATCATAATGATGTTAGGGTGGTGAGGGTGAAGACTGTGATGGCTCAAATCTTTCTGCTAAGCATGAAAAGCTATGCAGCAGAAACCAGATCCACATTTTCCGATGCGTTAATTTTATATTACTGATGACAAACTTCCTTTTTATTTTTAACTTGTTGAAACAGTTTATCTCTAATTTTCAGGTTACTGGATCTGGAAAAACCTTGGCCTTTTTGATTCCAATTGTGGAAATGCTCCTGCAAAGGTTATTTGCACTTTTAACCCTTTAGTCCCCAAGAGTGACTAGCATCTAAGTTCTCCTTACAATATCACCCCTGAATCAAACATGGAAGTCATAAGAATAGAGGAGATGATCACCAACTAAAGCAGCTCTTGATTGTGAAACAAATTCTCCTTGTCAGCCTCTTTGGAAACATACAGAGAACAGTATGGAGAATATGCATACTGATGTTAGGGTATAAAGGGTTAAGTAGGTGTAATTTCTTCAGATGTTAAATGTAGATTTCTTCTTATCAAGATAATTTGGTTTTTCAAATGAGTTGATAATTTAAACTAGCCAATGGTAAAGAGTTTCTTAGCTGGTGTGTAAACCCCTTTGCCAGTCACTCTGACAAAGAGCTAATGGTCTAAACCTCAGCTTAGAAACTCTCTACAATGGCCAATTCACTTTATCAACTCAGATGATAAAACCAATTACTGGTATCTTGTACTCCCCCACCAATGCAATGCCAGGGTTTATTTTGAACTTTACTCCCTTTATACACTCCCTTCATCAGTTTGAAATTAATAGCGCTAACCACAGACTACAGACTTCATGAAAAAAAATTCCATGGAAAAACCTTTATTATGTACAGTTTATTTTTATTCACATGCAAGGTGGCTCTATGTTATATACCAGTATAGATCTACCAAGAACATGCTTATGGGTCACAGTGTGGTTTTTCAGCTGCAATTTTCAAACCCAGGAAAGGGATTTGCCCTCTTTTCCTCTAAATTTTAATTTTAAACTCAAGTACCTTGCATAGTGTTGGACCTGACATTTGCTTTATATGCTTGCTATTTATTGTATTTATTCAAATATGTCATATTTTCTTTTCAAAGGGAAGAGAAGCTGAAGAAACATGATGTAAGTTGGTTTAATTTTGTAGAAAAATAACTAAAATCTACGGGTAAATATAACAATTGATGAATACTTTGTAATTTGGTTATGAAACCTTGGTAGGTCAGCTATTTATCCATTGTTTTTTGGGTCAGAATTGGAAGTTAGAGAGTTGGTGTTGGGGGAGGGAGTAAAATTGAGGAATGAGCATAAAATATGCACAACAAGGATGAACAGCAGTTCTACTCTGGGACTGAGAGGCAAGGGGTGGGGAATAGGGATCAAGGGGTGGGGGCCACAACAGGTGGGGGGAGGGGTGATGGGAGGGGTGGAACAATGGGGAAGGGGTGGGGCTACAGGAGTTAGGGGCAGAGAGTAAGGGGTTGAGGGTGGTGATGGGAGAGGGGTATAAGGCAAATGAATCAAAAAGCTTTCAGAAACCAACAAGTGTGAATAATGAAAGAATGAGTTATGTGATTATTCTTGAAAGTAGGACCAATTTGTAAGTTCTACATATCTGCTTCACATTATCAGGAGTGACTGGAAATTAATTTGTCTTTACAATGTCATCCCTAAATCAAAAATTGATGTTACAAGAATAGTAAGAGGAAATGATCACCATCTAAAGTAGCTCTTGATTGATGAACAAATTCTCCTTGTTAGCACTTTAGGATATGTATAGAGAACTGTATGGAGAATATGCACATTGATGTGAGGGTGGAGAGGGTTAAATAAGTCTAAGGAGCAGTCAAAGATGGTTCGCACAGGCTCAGGGTATGTTCTGCCCTGGTTATGAGAGGAGTTTGTTTTTAATTAGTCATATTGCAATCATCTTGCGATGAAAATGTTTAAATGTAGTTGATGAATAAGCTTGGCAGTCTTGTTTGCTATTACAGTTCACTCTCAACTAAAATTCTCCCCTTTTGATTCAGGTTGGTGCCATCATTATCACTCCAACTAGAGAACTTGCAAAACAGATTGACGAAGTCTTAAGAACATTTACAAAGGATCTCATCCAGCTAAAGTGAGGCTGCATTTGTTGGAAATTTACTGTGTAGTGGAGAAATTCAATCCATCTGGCACACACCTCACTGCATTTCTTTTTCACCACCACTTCACCTGCCTTCCTGGCCATGGTCACTAACATATTGGCCATGTTTTGGAAACCAATATGGCCATCTTGTGAAAACAATCAATTTGGGGGCCTAAAGGAAGACAATTTTCCGATGCTACTCCTGTATACTTTAATTCAGCATCCTCATGGCCTTCATAAGCAATATGCTCTACAATGATAACCTCAATTTTTTTTTAACAGGAATCTCTAACTCCAAGTAGTTGGTATATGGAGATTTTTTTTTCTTAATATGCCACTTATAATTATTACTCTGCTGATATGTTCCTTTACTCTTCATTAAAGTATAGCAAAATTACCTGTCTTTTTCAACTGTAAGACCACCTTAGTTTTGAAAACATACTATTTCTGAATGCTTGCTTTATAGGCAACTACTTCTGATAGGGGGAGTGGACCCTGTGGAAAATATGCAGAGATTCAAATCAGATGGGTGAGAACAAAGTGAATTGAATGATGTTTTGATCTTAACTGCATAATTGTGTATAGATATTTAAGTGGAAAACAGAGAATCACAAGTTTTGTTCCCTTTCAATCAAGAAAGCTTTTTTAGATTTAAGGCAGTGATTTGAGAAAGTTATAAGTTTATGGCATATGTGTATGGATCAAACAAGCCATTAACTACAAACTACATGTGCAGGTGCCACAACCTGAACTTTTCTTTTCAATCTGTGCCAATGTTTATTTGTTTTTCCCCTTTTTTAGAGGTCACATTATTATTGGCACACCAGGGAGATTAGAGGATTTAATGACAAGAAAGCAAGAGGGGATAGATCTGGCTGCTCATGTTCGATCTCTGGTCTGTACCAAACTGAAATTTTTCATGCTGAGTTAGAATTTATGGTGTAGAATCTTCAATTTAAAATGTGGATTTCTTTTCACATACAGAAATGCATGTTATGCATTCATTGTTTTAAATTTTCGTGAAACAATATTTTAGTTATGTTTCTACCATGCCCTATTAATAATACTTGCTTCAACTGTATGGACATACTTACCATATCATGAACCTTAAAGTGTGATGTCTGAGGTCTCTGATGTGTCAAAAGATCTTGTTTTATTGCTTGCATAACCGTGACATCTGCAAATATTTAAGTTTAAGTCTCTCTAGTACCTGATCAACTACAAGAACAGTAGTCATCAAAGAATACTGTAACATTAATGAATATGATTCAGTCATATGTTTTGGAGCAATTTTCAGTTGATTGTCAGGAGTTAGTTACTTTCAATTGGTTTTGGCGATATTGGTCAAGAAAAATGTGTACTACCTGTTCAACCATTCAAATGCATTTACCAACTTTGAAATAGGTACTAGCATTTTTCCACAAGTAGCCCTTTACACCCTCTTATCAGAATGCATTGTCTCCATACTGTTCTGTATACATTTCCTAAGGTGCTGACAAGGACAATTTGTCTAACAGTCAGAGCTTCTTTAGTTGGTGATCATTTGCTTTATTCTCATGACCCTAATGTTTGATTCAGGGGTGATGTTGTAAAGAGAAATTAGATGTTAGTCACTCTTAGGGGTCAAAGGGTTTAATAAATGAAATAACCCTGAGTTCTTGTTGGTTTCCCATGATGATATTTTCCTTTGTTTTGATTGGTTATTGTGATTACTCTGGTCTGGGCTATACAACACTATTGAAAGGCAGCTGTCAATATGAAAGGACGGGATTAGATAGGATTGGATGAACATTCATGAGACCACTATTAATCATAATTCCTTTATTTTGGTTATTTAGGAAGTTCTTGTCTTAGATGAAGCTGACAGATTGTTGGACTTGGGTTTTGAAGCTAGGTAAATTCTAAAACTTATTTTTTTCAGTTGAAGTCTTGATTAACATATTTCAACTACATCAACAATAGCTACCCCATGCTTTTCCCTCAGTCTGGCACTAAAAGCTCAAATAGTGGGAGACCAAGATAAAAAGAAAGCCATTCTAAAAAGGCATCTGAGAAGGTGCATGGTAAAAAAAAAGCCTATGTGTGACTTCTGATAGACTTTTATAGACTTTTGGATTCTCTTTCCAAATTTTCCCATCTTTCCTTGTGGAACACTAAGTAGAATTTAATGTTGCAAAAAAAAATTCACCTTAAACTAACTACACATCCCCATATTTACTGAAAGATTTGGTGCCTCCTGTCTGTCAACAACAGAAATAATGTAAAATGAAATTAACCATAGAATGTTTTATTCAAGATCAATTGACTCTTTGAAGTGGTTATCACTTCATTTTGAACTCTTAAAAAAAGGTGCAGTGTTTTTTGACAATCTCTTTTGAGTTTGATTGCTTTTTTATTGTGATTCCAGCATAAATACTATTCTGGGTTTTCTCCCAAAGCAAAGAAGAACAGTAAGTCACTCCTAACTTCAGAAATTTCAATAGTTTATTTTTTGTTAGGTCACAGAGTTGATTTTATTTGTTTTGTCATTGTTTTTAACAGAACCAACTTAAATAATTTTATTTTAGTATCATCAAATTAATCATTGAAGCCGACAGAGTTGTGGATTAAACTTACCATTGTGATATTTATTCACTTATAAGCTAAGCAATATTTTTTGGGGCCTTAAACTCAGTTTTAGAAAAAAATTTCCTTTTTCAAAGATAGGGCTCAGCCTAGAGCCAAGAGTTTTGAATAATGTTTCTCTAAAAACATCATTTATAAAATTAAAAATCATCACAGACACTCCTTACTCTGCCCATAGCCAAGTGAGTTTTATGAAAACAATAACTCACAAGAAAACAAGAATAAACAACCTCATGAAAATGCTCATAAATTATTTAGTGCTGGATTGGAAGCAAGTTACTTTAATTATTGGCTGACCCTAAGGCCTTAATGAACACAGAGTTGCAATCTTGTTTGCCTTAGATAAGTTGTTTAAATAGTATTTGTGTATCTGTTTTTTCTACCTAGGGCCTGTTTTCTGCAACTCAGACAGATGAAGTCGAGGCTCTAGTGAGAGCCGGCTTGAGAAATCCTGTTAGAGTAACAGTTAGAGAGAAATACTCCAAGTCTAAGGTAAAGTTTAACTCAAAAGAACAATGGTAGTAATAGCTCAGTTGAGCTCGGTCAACTACATGAAAAACAGTTAAAATGGCCAAGAGAGTTGGTTCTGTGTATACAAATATTTAGTATCATACTAAATAAGAAATAAAAAAGTAACAATGTTATTTATTTGTTTATTGGAAGGTTACAATTTTTTTTTTCTATCTGATGGGCCAATTTTAGTGCTGCCATTACAGCTCATTACCTGCATAAATAATTTTGCATTGACTGACTGTCAGGCTTCAGTTCTCATAGACTAAGAGATATAAGTTTAATTGCATCATGATATTACTGCCTTACCTGAACTACTGTAAATTATACAATCAATAAAACCTTTTGTTTCTCTTTGCCCATGTACTTGTAGTCAGAACAGAGGACACCATCCACACTAAAGAACTTTTACACAGTAAGCAGTTGTATTTTCTCTTTTGCTTAATGTGTAACTACATTTTTATGCCATGCTTCATTAATCTGACCACAGACACTCAGCAATCATAGCATATACTTGTATTTGAGTGTTAATCAATGAACTAATATATCTGAAAGGCAGAACTGCATTACTTGAGGAATGTTGCATACCAGGTTTCCTCAAATAAGTGCCCATGTTCCAATAATTGCCCTCCCCCAAATAAGGGCCCACCCTTTAGGCCACAAAATATCAAACAAAGACCCCCTTGAATAAAGACTGAATTGGACTCCACTCAGTCCTATTACCATAATTTATTGTACTTGTTTGGTACGAGTATGCATCATATCAGGGGTTCTGGTTGTACCATGGTTCATTTGAGTGGAAATACCCTTTACTCCTTTTATGACTGGGAACACTGTTTAATTCTTAATCACAAGCTTTCTATGTTTTTTTTTGTGGTTCAACCTCTGTTCAATTGATCTTACAGTAAAGTTTCACTCTGTAACTAAATGATGATATCATGTCATTTCAGATCAGTGACTTGATATTGTAGTATACCAAAATGTATGTCAGACTTCTGATTGGCTTATTGTGAATTTGGGTAATATGACTGAATATAACACTAAACGATCTCAATAAATTACAAAGAAATGTATGGGCTCTCAAAGGCAGGCTTACTAAAGACAGGAGTAAAAGGTTAAGGCACACATTTACTCCCAATCGCTCATTAATAATTTTCCTCCCTGTGTGCCATACAATTCTTAAGATGTTACTTTAGAGAATTTGGTATTGGATCAACTAACAATATTTGCAGTGGTTTTGATGAGGGGTAATTTTGAGTTTCAAGGTTTTAAAGTAAATTTGAGTGAGTTAAAATCCTTTATTTGTAGATATGTGAAAGTCAAGGAAAATTCTCAAGATTAGTGTCCTTCCTCAAGGCAAGGAAGGTATGTGATGTGTTTAGTAAGAAGAGGTAAATTCAGCAATTGAGCCAAGTTACCCATCTGGTCTGAGTTTATTCTAGTTTCTGTGGCATGAAAGGACTAGGTTGATGTCAGTATCTGAACAACTGTGTACTTACCCTTACCCTTCCCCTGACCCAACAACAGTTTACTGATAACAAGTTGTGGTTAATGTTGGATTTGGGGAGGGGTAGGTGAGCAGTTGCTCAGATACTGACATTGATCCAAAGAACTAGGAGTGTTGCTTCATCCCTTGCATGGGATGCTGGTACATTGCAGGTTAACCACCACCCACCCCCCTCCCTTCCCTCAGGATTTCACGAGATTCTTGTGACAGTTTTTGGGTACTCTTTGGTGGAGAAAGGCCCTTTTAGTGTAAAGTGCCTTGCTTAAGAACACCAAGAAAAGTTTCCATTGCAGCCTATAATTATGTGGTATTTGCTCACAAGAAGTTGAAATGACAAAAAGGAATTTGAGAGGAAAATGGAATCATTTTGGAACAGTAGTCACCCACAAGAGGAACTTGAAATAGAAGATTCTACTGAACCTGTTATAAGTATTCTAAGAAAGTGATTAAATGTCAAAAAGAATGGCAATTTGAAAGAGAAAAACACAGTGGAATCATTTTGGAACAGTTTTTGTTAACCTCTAAGCCACTGTTTGTACCATGATGCACATAAATCGTGCATATATTTCTGTCATTATGTTCACTTTGTGATAAATGTTGTTGCATTTGATACAGAGGATAAAACATACTTTAGTTGAACTTGGATTTAAATTTTTTAACTCAATTTTAAGATCTATTCAGTCCCAAAGTGATTTAAAAATACAATGAGAGTCTACTAATTTGATCCTTCTTAATTTTGCTCCTCTTATTTCTCCTCATAATATCATCCCTGAATCAAATATTAGGGTCACAAGAATAAAGGAAACCCGAAGGTTATGTATCACATTCTTATAAATTTTTGTCTTACAGACCTGCAAGAACATGGTATTTTTCAGCACATGTGCTTGTGTTAACTATTTTTCAAAGGCTCTTGAAAGGTAAGCATTGTGCAGTGCAGTATACTAAGAAAACCATTTTACTTCCTAGAGTGATCTTGAAGTAATTTCTCCTTTCGATATAAACACCTTGCCCAGCAGACAGGTCATGGGAACGAAGAAATATACCAACTAGAGGATATCATTTGAGTTAAAGAAAGTCTACAACAAATTTTGAGTAACAAATATAGCCATTGCGCAACGAAAACATATTTGCACATTTACTGAAGCTCATTTTTCGAGATTGGGCTACCTGTGGTCACTCTTGTTTTCCCGCACTTTGAGCAGTCTGGTTACTTTTACTGTAAATTCTCATTGGCTCGTTAGGATATTTGTGTTTCCTCTGATTGGCTGTTGCGGATACTTTGGTTTTGGTTTCTTTGTCCCATTCACGTTCCTTTTTACCTAGGGAACGTCAATGGGACAAGAGGTGTTTTCTTAACAAACCAAACCTGGGTTTTTTTTGTTGTTTTTCGTCAGTCCGTTATCGTTGAAGCACTCTGATAAACTGATTTCAGGTTTCTTTCGAATGTGAAAGTGCTGTCTATCCATGGAAAAATGAAGTCAAAACGGCATAAAGTATTTGATAGCTTCAGAAAACTTAAAAGGTACGTCTACCTGTCAAGTTCTTCTACAGAATCATCGTTACGGATTAAAGCAATACTCGAATTAGTCAGTGTTTACCTTGCCATATCTTTACAAAAGGTGGGGGGAAGGGGGGGAGGGGATTAAAGAATACCCGGCCGTTGAGCAAGCCCACCCCTCTCCTCCCGTGCCAAAGACGCAGTTGAGGGTTGGCATTTGTCACGAGGATTCGAACTCCAGATCCTCGGATTTCGAGCTCTTCCTTCGAGGAACGAACCCAACTTCGTCATCTTTCTTGATTTAGAGACCCACACTGCGCTTTCTTAATTTCTGATCAAGCACGACGCTTGTCACAAGTAAACCTACTACACGACCGTGCTCACCAACCATTGTTCTTTAGCTGACTGACACAGAATCAAACTGCGAACGTGTTAGTCCAGCCGTTCCTATTAGCGCTTCAGCACATACATTTGTTCGCCCACGAAAAAGTTTGAGGTTTTGAGCAAAGTAAGCTAGCTGGTGAGTGGTCTGCGAGGGGTCTGTTTCATTATTAGTGTCAGACCCCTCACAAATGTCTCGCCAGCCCGCTTTGCTTAAGACCTCAAAATTTGCCTTCGGCGTAGAAACGCTTGGGCCGCGGCGCCAATAATGAGGGCCTGCCCGGAAACCTGTAGATCCAGAGGCTTGATTCCTCTTTAGAACCTCTTCCACGCTTTTACCAACCATAATTGCACATTTTTGTTCCTTTTGTGTCAAGTGGTGTTCTGATCTGCACTGACGTCATGGCCCGAGGAGTGGACATTCCAGAGGTGGACTGGGTCATACAGTTTGATCCTCCCAGTAGTGCAAGGTATGTTAGCCGATAGGAGACGTATACTCTCAAAACTACTACGGTTTTTATCTCCGACAAAAAAGGGTTTTCAAATACTTGTGAAAAGTAGTGTGTGGTTGGTGTGACGCGGCGTTCCGTCTCGGCTAAGATATTCATCAGAAACCCTTCCGAATTTTTAAGCATATTCGTTAACCTTCGAGTTTTTGAGCCTGATGCTCAACGAGGAGTAAAAATTCGTAAAGTGCGTAATATGCCACTCGCCGCGGCACAACTATCCAGCAGAGGTGGGCAGTCTATCAGCAATACAAGGCGTTAAAAGCGCAAGTTTAGTCAAGATCTTTTCAAGCCGGCACAAGTGATTTTCGAAGTGATCATGTACTGATGATATACAGTTATATTTAGGAAATGCTAGTGATATAAGGAAATCAAACTATTTGTAGAACGGTTGTAGCTTGTTTGTGTTGGAAAGATGCAGTTCAGCTGACTGTGTTTCTGGGCGAATCGGTTTGATTGGGGCGAAACGACTGGCTACTAAATGCATTGATCACTCGCACATAAAGCGCGGCTTGTTGAAATGTTATTAAAAAAACAAACAAACAAACAAAACACAAGATAACGAAAGTTCTCCATTTTTTTTATCAAAAAAAGGCGAATTAAGGTTCAGTAATGTTGGCTAACAAAATAAAGCCCCTCGTGAAATGTAAAACCGCCATGGCGATAAACCCGATTGCCATGCCAACATCGTTGTCTTCGCTTGTAAAAAGAAGAAAGAAAGAAGTCCTGGTATTCTACTGTGATTTATATAATTATTGATATCTTATTCTTTCTCCTCGCAGTGCTTTCGTTCACCGCTGTGGAAGAACGGCAAGAATTGGAAATCAGGGTTAGTTACGTGTAGCCTAAAAGAAAAATTTCTTATTTTTGAGTGTTTGATGAAGGTTTACTCGCTGGAGAGGATGAGAAATATGAAATAAAAGACAAGATCTACGCCTATGCGAGGCTCTCGGGGAAAACGCGGGAAACCATCTTGGATGTGGTTTGGTTTTGGTTTTGGTTTTGGTTCTGATTTGTTGTGAGTTTTGCGAGAGTTTATTTGAATCAAGACGGAATGTGACAAGCGAAACAATTGATATTGGCATTGACCCCAATGGATCACGGACATTATCCGCGCTACTGCGCACCTACCCTTCCTTTAGCCCAACAACAGTCAGCTGATAACAAGTTAGGGTTAATCTTGGGTTAAGGAAGGGGTAGGTGTGCAGTTGGTCAGATACTTACATTGATCCAAACAAGCTCAGTTGGTAGAGCACTGCACCGGTACAGCAAAGGTCATGGGTTCAAATCCCGTACAGATCTGAATTTTTTAGGCCTTATTTTCACTACTACTCAATTAGTGTTCATTACTGCGAAGATCGCTTTCATATTCACGCCTTTATCCGCAGTTCACATATATAATTTTCAGATATTCATAGTCATTTATGTCACCTATGTTACCTTTACTTTGATCTCTTAATCGTTTTTTTTTTCTTCTATTGTATCCTGTTACTTTGTAGGGAATGCTTTGTTGTTTTTGCTTCCTGCTGAAGAATCTTACGTGGAATTTATATCCATTAACCAAAAGGTAGGTTAACTCTTTAATCATTAAAGAGTGACCGGCGTCTAATTTCTCCCACAGTTTCAACCTTGAATCAATTGTAACGGTTATGAGAATAAATAAAATGATCACCGATTGAAGAAGCTCATGATTTTCAATCAAATTCTCCTTGTCAGTACCACAGGAAATGAAGAGAGAACGGAATGGGAGAATATACAGATTGATGTTAAGGTGTTAAGGGTTAACTGTGGATTATCCCACCTAGTGTGATCGTTAGAATGAACGTAACCTTGACCGTCATTTCTGGCCGCACGTTTGGCGACCTGAACAAAAGCGCTCTTGTGGTCAACATCGCACAGGGGTAGGACGGGGCTAAATGATCAGAGAGATGAAGTTTCTCACCCTTCTGATTGTTGCACCACTGTATTTTCTGTCCATAATACAGGTCCCTCTTCAGTCTTTCGAAATAGAAGGAGAAGTGACAGACGTTACACCCAAGCTAAGACAGATGGCTATGAAAGACAGGTACTGTATGCAGAAAACATTTTTTGCTAAGTTCCCGTAGAAAGTTACTTTATTTACAGGGAACGTAACCTCTGTTGTAAGTGCCATAACCCTTTAACCACTGAGGGTGACTGGCTTCTATTTTCTCCTTGCAATGTCACCCTTGGATCTAATGGAAAGGTCAGGAGATTATGGGAAATGATCACCAATTTACGAAGCTCCCAAATGTCAAACAAATTCTTCTTGTCAGTGCCATAGTTTTTGTAAAGAGAAAAGTGCGGAGTATATGAACATTAATGTTAAAGGGTCCAAAGGGTTAAAACTGAAAGTGGCCGCAATATAGAACTTTGCAGATGTGTCTTTTATAGTGCTGGTAAATAACAGAACCCTTTTAATAAAAGCACTTATCTTACCAGTTAGTTCCCACTAATGGAGAGCGCTCCTTCGCCCACGTGACGGAAAAATTCTTGACGCAGCTAGTCCCTTTGTGCGCACTTTACATTAAACTGTGCATTTACAACCCTTTTTCCTTTAAGTTTCCCTTCCTTGCTCTTCTCTTCCCCCCCCCCCCTTCGCCATAAGACCACCCCGTCTCTTTGTTTCCCCGAATTTTCTAGTCTCAAAAAATCCGAGATGACGAACATACACCACGTAAGCTCACTGTAGCGGTTGCTCGTCATGAACATGTCTTACCCGTCGGTTATGCGTCTACTAACCTTGGGGGGCGGGACGTTTTTAGTATTCCTTTCTTAGATATTTTACTACGAAAGAGGTCCAGCACGACGCTTAACTTACGGAAAACGACTAAAATCGAGTTCTCGCCGTCTGCTTTCAGCCCTTTTTTTTTAATTTGGGGATAAATAAATGAGCAACTTTACCTAACGAGGGTAAATACTTTACAGTCATAGACTTACAAGCCCCATGGCCCTCCTTCCTATTTTTGAAGTCTGTCATCCTTTCAGTAATTTTGCCTATGTCATTTTTTTTTTTTTTTTCGAATTTCTTCTTAGGGATGTGTACGAAAAGGGGATGAAGGCTTTTGTGTCATTCGTACAGTTCTACAGAAAGCACGAGTGTAGTTTAATTTTTAGATCAAATGGTAAGGAAAATATCATTAATTTACAATGGGAATCAAATATCCAGCATAGAAAAGAGTTCTCATTTGCTCCTTGTGATATTTTGTTTTGTTATGGTAGGCTGTTACGATTGCTTTAGTTTTAATTTTAAAACCGAATGAGCAATTCACTGAACAACGAAACGAACGAACGATCATTTTGACAGGATTTGTTTTGATTTCCAAACGAGTCATTTTCAATGAACCAAGCTAAACTCCTGCTTTGGCTGTTGTTTTCTATTTGTGCAAAACGCTAGCATAGGAAGCAATTGAGGGTAGAAAACTGGCAATCACTATCTGATTCGGTTTTGCTTTGGTCTTGTAACAAGGGTCAACTTCTCAAGCATCAAATGTAAATCACACTACCAGTGGTCATTAGCTTGCATCACATACAGTCCACTCTACCGTGGCTTTAACCAGTCGAGGGTGGATCCGGAATTTGGATATAAATTAAGAGGGGTCCAAACTTTTACAAAACAAATCTCTCGACTGACCCACTTCCCCCCCCCCTTTCCCCCCAATTCCCCCTACTTGCGGTTACTCGACATATGTCATCAGTTTAGCCTTTCGCCGTATATATTAATCCTACACGTACTTAAGGGGAAATAATCAGTTAATTGAAGAGTAAAATGCGATCCTGTCGTTGCAAGAATTTTTGTGTCAGACAGGTAGTAAAAAAACCCACGTGTTTGTTAAGGGTAGGTTTGAAACCCCTGCCTTCGGTTCCCCCTTAAAAACCATGTGAGACCCCGAAAAAAACTTCGCGCCTCCCCTCCCCCCAGGTGCTAAGTATTGGCTGCTCCTCGATTAACGTTTTCTTGAATTTTTTTGGCCCACAGACCTGGAGCTCGGAAAACTCGCAACGGGATTTGGCCTCCTAAAGTTGCCCATCATGCCAGAGCTTAAGGATAAGAGTGTGGATTTTGAGCCAGTGGATGTAGATGTTGATAAACTTTATTACAAGGACAAAAACAGAGAAAAGCAGAGAAAAAGAATGCTGCAGGAATCGAGCGAGAATGGTTTTTATCCAACGGACTCGAGGAAAAAGAAATTCCGTAAGGAGACCGTCCCGTGGTCCAAGAACAAAGAGAGAAAAGTCAAAAGAGAGAAGCGGAAAGCACGTAGAGAATTTTTTAAAACGCAGCGCCAGAAGCATCAGTTTGATGAAGATGAACTTGAGGATCTTGCGCGTGATGCGCGCTTGGTGAAAAAACTTAAGGCGGGAAAGATCAGTAAAAAAGAGGTGGATACGCAATTAGGAAATGACGAAGAAATCACTCCCAATTTGTAAGAACTGGCTTGCCGAACCGTCTTGTTTGTAAATTGAAGGGTGTTCCAAGAATTCACGATACTTCCCTTAGAAGTCTGGCCTAATTGCGAGGATGACAAATTAGTGAGGGGGGGGACCCCTCCTCTTTCCTCACTAGATTGTGATAAAGGGGGTAAGTTTCTAAAGAAACTGTGGTGCTGCGTCAGAGGGGGAGTATAACAAAATAATTTGGTTTTATAAACATAGTTGATAATGTAAATTGGCTACCGTGAAGTGTATCAAAGCTGACGTTTCGAGCGTTAGCCCTTCGTCATCGCTCTGACAAAGAGCTAACGCTCGAAACGTCAGCTTTGAAACACTTCACGGTGGCCAATTTACATTATCAACCGCGTCGATAAAACGTTATTATCTTGTGTACTCGATTTTTCCTGTTTAATGTGGTGGCTTCAACAAACGCTCGTAAGATGTAGCGTTCGCTCGTTTAACCCTTTAACTCCCAAGGTCTGATTGTTAATTCTCCTCTCTAGCTCCCACAAATTTCCTTGTAAATTAGTTACAAGAATTTGGTGTTAGATCAAGATGACAACTTCTACCTGATAAGTCTGAGTATTCTCATCACCCTTTAGCTGGATAATGTATGGATATTACAGGGGGAAGTTACGTGTTAATCACTTCTTGGAGTTAAAGGGTTGAAATACGCCTGATTTGTAAAATTATTTCTCGTCCTCTGAGTTAAAAGTTTTCTGCTTTTGGAATCCTAAGGGAACTAGTCGCGGGGTGCGACAATGTCTTGTGTGCCCAATATTGCATACGATAGTAACCAGTTCTTTCAGTTCTTTCAGACCTGATAAGTAAATACTATCCTTCAGTGATATGCTTCTTTTGATATTATTAGATTAAAATCAGTGCTTGAATTAATTCCAACCGTCTCCGTGTTCTCAGCCTGATAAATAGATCTACCTACGACGGCGCGAGGCTTGGGTAACAGGATACGCGCAAAGTTTAAAACGCATCTGGGAGGGAAAAAAAACCGGGAAGAAAGCTTCAAAGTGCCCCTGTGATTTCTTATCTGCGAATCGTGGATAAAGTATTGAAACAATCGAGGAAAGAATATAGAATATCAGGCATTTTCAACATCATAGGCACCTCACCTCACCCTGATTCTGTGTCGAAATGAATCATGGAAGGCATTCTGTAGTTTCAATCTAGATATAACAGGGTGGGAAAGTTTAAAAGCTCCCTAATCAATATAGCATACAGTGTTTAGTCTCTTTTTAGGTGTTTTTTTGTGTTATGTTTTATTTGAAAAAAAACGACAGCACCAATAACAGCGAAACATTTTTGGAGGTCAGGAGCCCATTATTACGTGTATTTATATCATCAACTGGTGAAAAGAACTTGACGAGAGGCTCGCAAACTATTTCAAAAATAGATAAAACAGCAACGAGAGGATGTATGCAATCGGATTTCTATGGTAAGCTTGCATTAAGCAGGCCTTCTCTTTTCGGGGGTATGCGCACATTAAGCAGGGCATCATTTGGCGCCTGTTCACAGGCTAGCAAAATTGATGTTTCTCTTTTTGTTATATTTAACTTTTTTCAGGTTGAAGGACTTGACGAAACTAGAGACACGATATACAATTTTATATGAAACAATGACGGAAGTACCGACCGCTGACTAAAAACTTCGATACTTTATCGATTTGGTTGCCCCGACTACACATAACGTCATAGGTCATGTGATTATTTCCGTCTTGTTCACCGCGCCCCGCGTCCATCTTGAATTTTTCGGTTCGGGAAGTTATAACTGAACGGTTTCATCCGAGCGGTATCTTTCGTAGCTTTGCCCATCGACATGTCTAAAAAAGACAACTTGGTTTACAAGGCCAAGTTGGCCGAGCAGGCTGAGCGTTATGACGGTTTGTATACGATTTGTTGCCTCTTTTTTATTTTTGCAGAGAGTTGTAGGATGGGTCATCCATGGAATTTGACTATATACTGTGTGATTTTAGTTCGCCGACCAGCATTATGACCGTTTAAATTAGTGTCTCTGTTAGTATCAAACTAGTATCATGGTAGACAATTTTAGCAGGAGTGTGATTTCTGGTCGAAGTTTGACAGGGGCTCAGATCTACCTATCAATGTAATGTTTACTTGCCGCTTCACATATCTATGTTTCGAAGGATTTCGAAGGTGCTATTTGCTTCTTATTACAGAGATGAAAGATCATATGAAGGAAATTGCACTGGAAGGTGGAGAACTTTCGATAGAAGAACGCAACTTACTCTCAGTTGCCTACAAGAATGTCATTGGTGCGAGAAGAGCTTCTTGGCGCGTTCTCTCAAGCCTGGAGAAAACCCAAAACGACGAACCCAAGAAGGAAGTAATAAAAACATACAAAGAGAGCGTGGAAACGGAATTAAAGGGTATCTGCAGTGAAATTTTAGAATTATTGGATGGCAACCTGATAGAAAACGCCAAAGATCCGGAATCGAAAGTCTTCTACCACAAAATGTAAGTTACAGTGTTTCAACATGTCAATAATTTTTGTATATTAAATTAGATTACCGCTGCGTATGATTTATCTCAACAAGTGCATTGATCATTAAAAATTCGAGGTGGGCAAACGTTGATGCCTTGTCAGTCTTATGTCTTCCAAAGGCCAGGAGTGTGAGCCTAGGATTTGAGGAAATGGAGGGAAAGGTGAACCTGTAATCGATAGGGGAAATCACGCATGTCATACTATGTACAGTACATGTTTGGCCTCTCCATATCAGCTGCTTAGGGTTAGGAAGCCCTTTGTCAGACATATCTTGCCTTGTGTACAGTTGAAAGCTTGTTCTTAGTTTAAGCTGTACTTTTGCATGCACAGTATTCATAGAGGAATTATTTTCTCTATGCTATGGATTTTTTTCCAATATGCTTGAGGTTTTCAGCCTTGAGTTCTTTATAATTTGGGCCTCTTATTTGTGGAAATTTTTAGGGAAAATTTAAAGTGATGAATATTGCAATGGGTTATGTGTATGTATACTCGGTAGGCAAGATTGAAATTGTTTAGTTTTTTAAGGGGAATTAGGCCTGATATGGAACAGATGAACAAGAAAAGGCTGATTTTGCTGGTCTGCTCTAACAAGCGCAAGGAATCTTTTTTTTTCCTTCAGATGATACACCAGCCACAAATAATTATTTATTAATTTCAATGTAGGTGCCACTTTTGAATAACATAGTGAACAGATAAATGCTGTGAATATTGTTCAAATTCCTTGTCTTTGCCTCTCTTTGAACTCAACTTAAGCAAATTTGTGTTAAACTTACATCTATCTGTGTTTGTGCCTTATGGCATGACATCAGTATGATGTTATACAATGAGGTTTAGGTGTTTGGCTGAGATACACTCACTTGCTCCATTCTCTGATCTGTCAGATGATTAATTTATGCATTGAATGAGGATCAAATGCTTTATCCCCTGCCTTCCCTACTAGGTATTGTTCCATTCCCATAGTCGTGCTATTGTCTTTTATTTATATACCTGGTGGGTGGGACAAAGGCAAGAATGTTTGCAAGTTCATGGAGTGATCAACAGATTTAAAATGGTATCTTTCATGGGTGTGGTTTGCAAAAATTATCCAGGTTGTTTTTTCCCTTCCTTTCTCTCCATTCTTGATCAGAGTGTACTTTAATAGACCTCACAAATGAAGGAGAAATTTCCAAGAGAGTATCAATTCAGAGAGAAAAGGGCCTTAAAGTCCTAAAATCAACAATGACAATAGTCCCAATAATAGATATGGAAATATTTTGTCAGACTGTAGGCTGAAATCTTTTAGGTGGATATTTCTTTCTTTTCACATCATTCTTGATCTTAATACACCTTTGTAAATCTCATAAACAAAGAGCAAACATGCTAAAGAATACTCCCCCTGGAAAGAAGTGGGCTTCAAAGTCTCAAGTCTTTACACATCATTGGCAGCAAATTACCATGTTTTGAGGTTTTGCAGTTTTCATTCAGCTGATTTATCTTTGTTTGGGGTTTTACAGATTTCACTGGATTTGACCCTTTCTGTTTGTTTTGCAATTACCTTTAGAGGTATTTTGCCCCTGGTGTGGCAGCTTGAAATTTAATTACTTGCTTGGTCTTATTGAATTTTCAGCACCAATTTGGCTGTCTTTCTCCAGTATATTTTTCCTGTTTGGCCATCAATTTATCTGACTTAAATATAACCTGTGGCTAAGGTTAAGTGTTACTGCTAAGGCTTTTAAAGTAAAGAATAAACTGATCATGTAAGGATATGTTATGCAATATTGAAGGAAACGGCAAAGGATTTTAAAAGTGAATTATTAAGATATGCTGTGCCATGAGCTAGCTCCAAGAGTACTTTGATTGAAAGCAGGGAGTTCTCCCATGTGAAGTATTTTTGATACTTGATTTTTTTACTCTGGGAACATGCTTTGTAGAATTGTCAACAACATAGACTCTGAAGGCCTGCAGTTGTTGTAAAGCATGTCACTATTGTTTCCTGTTGTCAGGAAACAAAATCTCTCATGATATCAAGAGCAGGGATTTCCATATGTTTACAAAGAAAATACTTTGGTTTTTGCTTAAATCAGGCAGTTTGGACAACTTAGGTAACAATAAGATTGATCATATTGTTGCCATTTTACTTTGCAATAGTGCTTTTTTTGGTTCCTGTCAGGTTTAGGAAAATGACAGGAAGCAAAATTAGTGTCTGGTGTCCTTAGGTATGGAAGAAACTGAGATACTATTGAAATTCGTGCGTAAATTTTTACTGGTAAAAAGTGTTGTATGGGTTTTTTTTTTTTTACTAGAAAACAAGCTTATTTTGTAGGGTGAAGCAAGAAAAATGGCACTGTTTAAAGCTTACACTCTGTGCAAGTTAAGGTTTAGTGAATTGTGATAAAAGTTGCACACTTTCTAGGAATTAGACGGAAAAAATTACAGTGAATTGCTGGAAAATGTCTCCCATCACATGAATTGAAGTCAGTGAGAGTGGATGAGGCAACCCTCACCATATGCTTGACATCTCTTAATTGACAGGGGTTACACCTTCGTCTTGTTGGCACCCTTTCCCATCTTGTTGAGTAAAATTTATTTTAAGTATCCAAAGTAAGCTGTAAGATTTCATTTGAAAAAAGTTTTGAATGGCATGTCATTATTGTATTCTTAAGTTATAGAACCAAAAGATAGTCTCCAATTGGCCAATCTAGTCCATCCAATCAAAATTTACATAGTTTTCTTTTCTTTTTTTTTCCTGCTCTGATTCTCAACATTGTAGAGCTGTAATTTGGTCTTGGCTCTGCTCATGTACAAACTTGAAATATTGTGAAGCTTCTCTCTTTAATTTTCTGTCATTTACAGCGTTCATCACACAAGACTGGTGTCCCTTGTTTTTCCTACCATCTTTGTATTAAAGATGTTGGACCTTTATTTATAACTACTAAGTCCTGTGGTTGCAAGAAAAATTTAAGGGCAATGCCAAAAGTTTGAAATGTTCAGGAAGTGGTTCTCCAGATACAATTCAAGCATCATGAAACAGATGTCGATCAATGACCACATCTGTTTTTTAAATGAAATTCTATCAATTCTATCTCCTAGCCATTTTGTTTTGGGTCAGTTTTATTGTATTCAATTTTTTGTTTTTTGTGTTTCCAAACATTATTTTCCAATTTGTCTCGCTTATCAAATAGATTGAACACCAAGATTCTGTTTCAATGTATTTCAACAAACAAGTTTATTAAAATCCTGTTGAAGTCAGGGTGCTCTTTGTTTGTCCAATAAATTGTTTTTTATGGGATTTGAAATCTTGCAGCCTGCCAAGGAAAGTTATCCTCTTAGATGACTCATTCTAATGTATGTGTAAGTGTTCTTCTTTTAATTCCTACATACAAAAGAGTTGATTAGCATCGGGCACTACTTTACCAGTTTGAGAAAACAGTCTATGGAAATCCCTGTTCTTTCCTAACCTCCCTTCTGTAACTTTTTGTTTGAAGGAAGGGAGACTACTGGCGCTATCAGGCTGAGTTTCTTCCTGACAAAAAGGATGATGAGTCAGTTCCTAAAGAAATTGCCAAGTCTCTTAAGGCTTACGAAGATGCTCATGAACATGCCAAGGAGCTGCCATGTACACATCCAATAAGACTGGGACTGGCTCTCAACTTTTCCGTTTTCTATTATGAGATAAAGAATGAACCAGATAAAGCATGTAAATTGGCAAAGGAAGCATTTGATGAAGCTATTGCTGCACTTGAACTACTGTCAGAGGACAAGTATAAGGATAGCACTTTAATTATGCAGCTCCTTAGGGACAACTTGACTCTGTGGACATCAGAGACCCAAGGAGAAGGTATGTTTTTGTCTCTTAATTGAAATTATGTCTTGATTTTGACCCTTCTAATCACATTTAATCAGGTTGGTTTTTAACAGTGCAAAGTCATTTCTGCAGAATTCAATTTCATTTTATTTTTTTTTTACATTGTGCCCTCCAAAAATTTAAAAGATTTTTTTATAGCAATTAAATCTGGAGAAGCTGTCTTCTCTGACTCAAATGCTTGTGATGCATGCAGGAATTTAGCCCTGAAAGATATAATTTGAGGCATTTGTTTCAATACTTCACTCTGCTTCAGAAATTCCGTGAAGATGATTGAATATTGACATCTGAGTTTGAGCTGGAGTTTGCCAGACAGTTAATTTGTCTTTTATTTCTGAATTCAGAATTGTAACATAGTGTGTGTTTACAGTGGATTTTCTGGAAATTTCACTGGCTTTATATGTATAGGATTCCCAAAGTACAAGCCACTTGACTCTACTAACAAGAAAGGTCTGGTTTCGTTTTTAAGTAGCAGGTGTCTGGCAATAGCAAATAACTGAGAGTAATTTCATCGTGGATGTTTTAGGCCCTCTTAACTGTGATTGTGTTACATTATAGACATTGAAGTGCAAGATGTAGAAGACAAGGATTCCTGAAGAATTTCAAGGAAGAATGGAGACATCTTAATTAGTTTATAGGACATGAATATCCACTTGCATCTTTTTTTTTGTCATTGTTGTAGAGTGAGCATCACGGAATGTGAATGATTCCTGCATGGGTTTATGCTTAGGTTTTTAGTTAGCAGCACATGCTTGGCTTTGCGCCTGTTCAGCCATTTCTCAACAACAACCATGTTTCATATCAGTTTGAAGTACATTTAAGTGTAACATGGCAGTGTAGATATGGCTCAGGCCACTCTTGTGTCAACTAAACTCCAACAGAAAGTCCCAGTAAGGAAGCCTGACTAATTTGTAAATTATTTCCAGTTCTCTTTCTATGGATTCTTAGTGTTTCTAAGAGATAAGTGATGATTATTTTAGGTCTTAAATGTATTTTCATCCATATTTCCCCTTGTACATAGGGAATTGTATGATTTACTTTCTTCTTTGAGATATTAAAGTGAAGTATAGATATTGCTGTACGTATGCATTTTTTTAGCAATAAAGCTTAAGGTGGACCTGGAAGTGGGTCAGTTACTTTTGGTATTTCCAATAAGTTGATGAGCATCAGGAGAGAGTCCATTTTCACAAAGTACTTTTAAAACAGATATCATAGAAATAAACATGTTCAGTCCTAGCATGCAACATTTAGTGTCATTTAGTGTATTTGATGTTTTGAATCTGGTATTTGACAGACTTTGGATTAGTAACCATCAAAGTCATTCCGATATAATTATCTTGATAATAAATTAAAGTATGGCTCTATAGGAAGTCTTAGAGTGAGTAATTTAGAACTTGACCATGCCCAGAATTATCTCTCTACCCTTTGACTCCTAAGAGTGACTGCTATCTGATTTCTCCTTACAATACCAGCCTCGTATCACACATTTAGGTCAAAAGAATAGAGGAAACGATCTCCAACTAAAGGAGCTCCTTGTTGTTATTATTTGGGAGAGTTATGGAGAATATGTAGACTGCTGTTGGGGTGTGAAGGAGTAAGGCATCATTTCATGACTAGAATTTAAAAAACCTTGAAAGTCTCCTTTCCCAGTTTAATAGTCAGAAGGCCTGTCCAGAAGAAAGTCACGTTGACCATGTTTTGGAATAAGAGTTATTATGTGGCAAAGGAAGGAGCTTGATTCTTGCATCTGCCTGCATACAGTGTCAGAAATGTTAATTTGACAGTGTGGCCAGTATCTCTAATTTCACCTTTATCTACTCTCCTTGTTAGATTACTCAGGAAAATTGTTTCTTGGTTTTCGTCATTACTTTCAGCTCTATGAAAACAACTGAAATGTAGCCTAAATAAAAATTTTCTGTACGGGATATCCCATCCTTAAGTGTTTAAAGACCTATATTCAGTGCATTTGAACCTTATTGGGTGTAGTGTGTTCTCTTGGACACAAAAAATTGAAATTTTTTATCAAGTTCAGGGACTTCAATCCGTGAAAACTCTGTTCTGCATGTGAGACTTGTGTGAGCGGCTGAGGGGGATGTAAGGATTTCTCCAGTATAAAGGATTAAGAGTGTTTAAACTCGCTTGGATTGGAGTATCAGGCTCTACAAGCTACACAGTGGTGCCCATACTCAAATACTCCGCGATGGGTACTATCCACACAACATGTCTGGGGGGTGGGGCTGGGTAGGTTTGCAATTTAAGAAGGTCTGGAAAGTGGTGAAAACTTGTAAATTTAAAATGAAATAGTTCCTAGAGGACCATTTGAAATAAGTGTTTTAGCTGGAAATCTTAAGCAATGCTCCCTCCATTCTCCCTCACCACTGTCGGAAAAGAAAATTAAGCATAAAACATAACCTGTATTGAGCTAAGTAATGATGAGAGTTGTATCAACTTCACAGGAAAGGAGACTATTTCCGTTATAAGGCTGAATTTAGTAAAGATGATGAAAGGAAGAATGCTGCACAGAAATCCCTTGAGGCTTACAAAGCAGCATCTGATCTAGCAGAGATTGAACTGGCATCCACCAATGCCATTCGCCTGGGCCTGGCTCTCAACTTTTCTGTGTTCTATTACGAAATCCTCAACTCACCAGATCGGGCATGTCGGTTGGCCAAGACAGCATTTGATGAAGCCATTATCAAGATAGAGACTCTGGAAGAAGACAAATATAAAGACAGCACATTGATCATGCAGCTCCTGAGAGACAACTTGACACTTTGGACTTGTGACATGCAAGGAGATGGTGAGTTATACTTTTTTGTAGCTCCCATTGCTAGGGCCACTTTTAGTTAAGCACCTTGTTACCGACCCCTTTGGAGAATCAGCTGTTGGGGGGTAAAAAAACCGAGTTGCCTCTGTCCTCTGTCTTCTTGCAGCCACAATAAGATTAGCCTTCATTTCAACACAAACACAAACACAAAACATGGCTGGTAGTTTTGTGGGAGTCAGGTGAAATACAAAAGCTTCAGAGTTCAAAAAACTAGTGGCACAGTTGTAGGTGGAAATCTTTTCGTCTCAGGGAGTTTTAATTTTCCTCACTTCATTCCTCACTCAGCTCCACTGCTATATTTAGCAGAACCACTGCTGAAACACCCCTACCCTACCCTACCCTCCCCCCCTAAAAATCACAACATTATAGAGTTCAAAAACGAAAAAACAATCTTCACAGCCCCAAAGGCATAATAGCTTTCATTTTGAAGAGGAAGTTATCCTCCTACTTCCTTTCTTGAACAACTTTATTGAAATATGCCTTGGTTTTTTGTTTTTGTTTTGTTTATTTATTTATTTATTTTTTTATGAAATTGATCTGTGAGCTGTTTGATTTACAGAGGAGGGTAGAGAAGATATGAATGTCCAAGATATTGATCAAGATGATGTGTGAAGGCAATCTGCATCATGTCACTGTTGGTCATATATATATACTCGTAGAGTTTTTACATGTATACTACTATCTAAGACATGTAATATATAGATTGTTATGTTGATTATATACAATAAAAAAAAATAGTATTATCCACAACTGTTTTGTTCTTGTTAGCTTAAATTGCATGCATATAGAGTCTTTTTCTAAAGTTGTTTGAGAGAATAATTGGATCATGCTATAACATCGTTTAAGCTGCCAGTGATTTGAATATTTGATCAGTACTCAATTGTTATAGAGACAGTTAAGATAAACGCAAATGTGTCAGTTCAAAGTGCGTTCAAGAGATTGTTTGTAAATTTTAGGCAGTCAAAATAAAGTTGACCTGAGGAAAGTGTTTGATTTGTTACAATTTATTGTCGAAAGATGGCCTTATGATGTCAGCGCAACTGGATTAATGGAAATAGAAAATCAAAATTTTCAGATAACTGAACAGGCATACTTGGACTTTAGAAATTCTTGGGAAACCCCTGTGACTTTGCGGACGGCTGTTGGTGATTGTGCTAGCTAATCACTTCCGAACCAGCCAATCAGCGTGCACGGAAAGCACTATTCACCTGAGTGTGTGGTATGTAACCACTACCCTCCATTTGTCGCGAAAATATGCACGGATATTTGTCTGCGGACATTGGCAGTTCCTCGAAGCTCACACTTTTCCTCGAGCGTCGCTCTCGGAAAGCTGTTAATTGATAATCTCAAACATTAACCTTTTTAAAGAGTCTAAACTACGAGATTATTAAAGCGCTCATGCATGTTTCGTCTACCGTAATTCCAGTGCACCCATGTTGCAATCGTTCATCGGGTGTGGCTCCATTAGTGTGTGCATCCATCTCCCCTCCCCCATCCATCCCCTCCGCCTCTTTCACATACCTCCCCCTTGTGAAAAATTTAGAATTTGATTACCCTGAAACATATTTGCCAAATGTATGATTTTCTTTCGGAGACGGTGCTGTTTCAAAGTAGCCTTCAACATTATAATGACGGATGATATCGCCTCACAAATCAAATTGTTGCTCCTGTTCTCCCCCTCCTCCACCTTACCCTATTCAAACCAAGTTTTGGCGATGAAAAATACAAAATTCTTTGGAAAGGAAGGGGTGAAATCAAATGGTTGAGGGGTTGAGTTTGTCAAATAATCCTAAAAGTACGAGCGTATCCCAACTCGATGTGTCGCTGATTGCAAGTCATCACGTGAAGTTTTCAGGTGTTTATTTACACTAAAGTACCAGCTCTCAAGTTTAAATTTGCAAAGCTAATTGCATTAATGATATTCTCTGACAGGAGGCTATGAGCGATTCATAACTGTCTACGTTTGGCGCTTGCTAACTCCCAAAAATATTTCAAAAAAGACAAGTTGTCTTCTTTTTGAAACTCTGTGGCTTTACTACAAAAATATAAATTGAGAGGACTAAAAGGCGTTTATCAGACTACAGATTTTAGTAAATTTCTTCTCAAGTTATTGTCATTAGGTATCAGCCGTTATTTATTGCTGGGTTTTGGGGGGGAGGGGGGAGTTGGGAGGATCACATGGTTTTAAAGGGGAACGGAAGGGGTACTAGTCGTCGCCAACAGTTTTTATCGTGACACAACCAAAATCCTCTGACCCCTACCCCCTTCGGCGATAAATGATGACCGGTCCCCATATTGCAGGTCTTCTTGGCGGGGGCGACGATTATTTTATTGAATTACTTGCTTGCATGACGTACTGCTCAGAGTATCGCTGATTTGCTAAACGAAGAAAAAATTGACGTATTTTTGAGCAAAGACATATCCCTGTAATCATACACAGTTTCATTCCCTTTCTTCTTACTGCAGACAGTGAAATTACCAGTAAATCCTTGGAAAGAGGCTGTTTTCTAGTGTTCCAGGTGACGGCTTGGAACCGAAAAGTGAGGCGTGTATTAGAGCGTACCGGTAAAATTGCGAAAGAACAAGAACGCTAAATTCTGGTAAGTCAGAGGTTTAGAAATAAAATATTCTTTCTATGATAAGTATTTCAGTTATCGTCCAGCTAGATTAATTTTCCTTAAGACAAGGTCAGTTTTTTCAATGTTGATAATAGATATGGCTGACTCAGTCGTCTTCTACACCTGAAAGTGAAAAATAGAATATGGCATCAATCAGTAAAGTATTTAACCCTAGTCTCATACTCAGACCTTCCACGGCCAAGCTGTTGTACATTTCAGTCACAGTTAAACGGTAAGATCTTGGTACGAGATTAAGTTAACCCTTTAACACCAAAGATCTCATTACTTAGTCCTCACAATCTTCCATACAATCGTTATGATGTTAGTTTGGAAAATTTGGTATTAGATCAACTGATAATCCCTTAATTGATAATTTTCTTTATTCTCATCACGTTTTCCTTGATATTGTATGGATATTGTGAGGAGAAATTACGTCTTTGTCACTCATACGAACTTTGTATTAATGCTACATCAGCATGGCAGAGACTTTGTTCAAAATATATTCTGAAACTGTAGTAGCATCTTCGTACACCGAAATGCATGATTGGTAAATTCGTTCAAATCATCTTTCTGTTCCTCCAATGTTACCTGGGTAATAATATAAGTGGTAAATTACACCCCTGTTTAACTTATGATAAGGTACACTCTCACACTAATTTTGTGGGACACTTCTCCAGAACAACGTTTATGGAGTTCTTTCGCCTCTCTCTTATATGCCAATGCGTCAAATCCAAGTTAAATCTAAGCAATACCCAATTTTCCGTTAACAAAAGTTTCAATTGAAGTTGCAATCACGTAAAGGTCTGTGCTTCGTCAAGGTCTTTAAGGAACGGGTAATAAGTCTCCTCGTTTGAAATACATTTTAACCTATTCATATGGGATTTTAAGAACACAATAGGACTGATTTACAAATATTTCTAACTCCTGTTGTAACAGCTTTCATTACCGAGGGGATAAGTTAAATTTTTGATTAGTGACCTCACTTACCCGGACGATCAGACCACAGAATCGCATTGATACGCTGCGCGCGCTGCAAGCTCCGCTATTATTATTAACATTATTATTACTAATCCTTACTGAGGGCGCGGTAGAGCAAAACCGATCGTTTATGCCGCACTCACCTTCCTCCTGCATTTCCGAAGTCCATAGTGTCAAATTATCTCTCAGAAGCTGCATAATCAAAGTGCTCTCTTTGTATTGGCTTTCGTTTCCGGACGGGTCCAGATCCTTCACAGCCTCATCAAACGCTGCCTTCGCCAGTTTACAGGCAGCATCTGGGGAATCGAGTATCTCATAGTAGAACACGGAGAAGTTTAGTGCCAAGCCCAGTCGGATGGGGTGCGTGGACTGCAGCTTGGAGGCAGCTTCATCTGCAGCTTTGTAGGCCTCCAACGCTTGGTTTGATGGGGCCTTACGTTCATCGCCTTGTAAAATCTCCGTGAGGTATCGGTAGTAATCGCCCTTCCTGGAAATCAGAGATGAGGGAGGAAAGATAAATCGTGGCCAGGAAACACTCACTCGTTATCTTCAGTGCCAGCCGAAGATCAGAGAGCCACCAGAGATATTGATTAACTAAACTTCCCTCTCCCTATTCCCGAAGAATGAATCAGAACTCCACCTGCAAGCGGACATGCTAGCATTTTTCTCCCTCAAAGACTAAATTTCAGTAAACTGTTCTCCTAAAGTGTATTCAGATGTAGTGCGCTTTTCATTCGAATGTCGTAAATTAAATCAAGATTTAAGTATAATCAAAATAACACATCGAAACAAAGACAAGTATCCAAGGAGGTATAATGAAATTTCGCTGGAAACACATGCAAGGAAAAGTCCCGATTACTTAAGGTTTTGCATCTTATTGTCGATGACTGGTTGGGGTAGACGCTACTGCAAGCTTTCCAGACCAATCACAAAGGGTACTAAAAAAACCAAACAATCAACCCCGCATCAATTTAGGCCCTCAAATAGAAATTGTTGTTCTAAAGCTAGTAATAGCGTAGCTCTTTCTTTTTTTTCCTTTTGTTGAAGGAAAGATTACCTCATAGACCAAAGTTTACATAGTACTCCACGTTTTTGGACATGTTGCATGTCCTGCTACTGTTTCCAAGGGTGATCTTTTACACTTTACTTATAATATTGCTCACTGCGTTTTAGCTCTATCAATCTTATGTAAGCGCAAGAACGCTCTTATTATCCGTTTGTAGGCGTAATTTTTATATTTGGGAGCTTGGGAGAACTTCAAGATTTGTTTTCCAACAATCACAGTGCTTTAACACGTGCTACCCTTAAAATTGTACCTCAGCTTCGACCACTTATCGCTGAGACAAGACTAAATGAAACAAAACTATGACTATAAAACCAACGAATGGCTGAAGACATAGGAGATGCTTCGCACGTGCCAAGGGGGGATTTCTATCTCAGCTAGTACCTTAATGGGGAGATAGGCGAAGCAAAATTTACCAATTTCAGGGACTGATCCTTATTTATCGCCGATCGAGGGGTGGGGAACGGGTTTCGGAGGAGTTTTATTCGTGCCACAATAACTTATACCTAAGCTCCCTATAAGGCTCTGAAAAAGGCTCTGTAGTAATCTAATGACACTACCCCCCCTTATTGGCAATCAGTTTTCCATAGTCCCCTCTCTGACCCTGTTAAAGACCGACTGACTCCTCTGTTCTCTTGAAAAACCATGTGACCTCCCCAAAAATCCTCTGACATCCTCACCCCCCTCCCCCCCCCCCATCCCAGCAATAAATGAATGGTCCCTAACAATAAATATAACCCATTCCATTTCAATAATCTCAAATCCACTTACATTTTATAGAAAAATACTTTAGACTCTTCTGTGTCAGCATTCGGTATAAGATGATCATCTAAAAGTTTCAAAATTCCGGAGGATATTTCTTGTATCTCCTTTTCTACCTTCTCCCTGTATTCTGTCACAGTTTTTTTGCTCTTAGCGTCCCCTTCGTGTTTCACCTCCAGGCCACTGAATATTCTCCATGCTGCACGTCTAGCGCCGATAACGTTTTTGTAGGCCACAGACAGCATATTTCGCTCCTCTGTCTCCAGAACTTTAGACATTACCACTATGCTTTTCATAGCTTCCAGCATATCTTATATAAAAAAAAAATTGAAGGCGGGTTCATCAGTAACGGTTATTCTCAGCTGTCGAATGAAAAGTCCGCTGACGATCAGACCTAGAGTGCTTTTCGATTAAATGTGGTAAAACCAAAACCAAGCTATTACGACAGCCAATCAGAAAACAGATTAATTTTACAAGGTGCTAATGAGATCTCAAACTGAACACAGCAACCCGCCTGAAGCGCGGGAAAACGCAAGTGACCGAGGTGTAGAATAGATTCAGTTCGACATCTGATTGGTTAAGAAGGTGGCGAGAATTTCGAACCAATCACTTAGCCAAAGCCCAGCACTGGATAATTTTCGATATTCGATTACATTTTCTCTCATTTCATCCTTAAGGTAGTTATTATCTACAAGAAATGAATCTGAGGCATAGAGGAAATAGAAGAGCTCCTCGACTGATATCAAAGCAATTTTAGGATGTCAAACGCAGAATAAAATAAATAAATATATGTTTGTATGCCTGCGTTTATGTTCTCTGGAATTCGTGTTTCCGCGTCGAAATAATCATAGACTAGATTGATGATTCTCTTTAACTCTTTCACTCATAAGATCTCATTAGTCTGTCTTGGTCACGCATAGGAGTTGTAGGGTTTAGTTAGATTATGTCGACCATAAGCACCTTTGTGGCTATGCTTTCAGCGTTCCAATTGTGACAGAGGCAGGGTAGTGACCTTGGGGGAGGGGGGGAACTTCCTGGTGATAGGTTAATGGATGGGATTGCATTTTCAATAGAGTGGGGTCGCACAGTTTAAGGATTTTGGAGGTAAGAAAATTCTGGTAATTAGAGATTTAAAAATGAGAAGATTCACGATTAACAAGTGACTAAGTTGAGATCGCAAAAATCGCATTTGCCCAAGAGTGACTTAGATGGGTTCTATAGTTGGCTCCCACTATCATGGGGTAGGGAGTTCTGAGAGGTCAGTGGAATATATCTCGCAAAAATCGACCCAAGTGTCCCCCCCTCCCGGGTAGAAAAGGTTAAACTGACGAGGCTTTTCTGAAATAATCTCGTAAAACACGCACGGAAAATAAAATGGGTTACTTACCATCATATCTTTCTGACTGCTCAGCCAAATTAGCTATAATCAACAGTTCTCCCTTGTCCTTAGTTCCGCTCATCATGTCAAAGTCTAACGATCAGAGGAAATGTGGAGATGGAGTAAACTACTTCGATTTCAATAGAAGATAATAATTCTTTAGATCGAAGAGGCTCAGAGAGGCGTTTTTGATTTGTAACCTTATTCTACACGCTCGCGACCCAAAATCATCGTTTTTCTATCACGCTGAGCCTGCATAACCCTGAGTGGGGATTGTGGGCAAGGGTTGGGAGTCTAGAGGCCCATCTCCATCTAAGTTTACACCGATTTCCATCGTCTCGGCAAAGGCTGGAAAGCGGAGCTCTCGATCCAGATTTTAGCCCTATAACCACCGGTATCTCTCTCTTCTACAACACCAGAATTAAGAGAAAAGCCAAAAAAGGCGTGACTAAGGGGGAGGGGGGTGGTTAAGTCAGCCTTCAATGCGCTTGTTAACAAGCTAATGAGCAGAAATTGAGTTGGTGAACAGTTTGAGAAGAGAATGCCTACGCTTCCTTTTTATGCGCTTTTTCTGCACTCAGAAATCGACTGCACGCAGATTTTGAGGCAAGTTTTATGGTAGTATTTAGATTAAATTCTGAATTTTGTTCATGATTTAGTGCGCTTTTTCCCATCGTCATTGGCCTCAGCTAAATTTGGACCATGGCAAAGTAACCTGAGCTGCCGTTTCTTTTTTGCAGAAAAAAAAAGGAAAAGAAAGAGATTAGGAAGACTCGCCTGTTGAGCCGGCACTATGCTGGTTTCCAAAATGATCCGCACCGAAATAGCTCTGTCCTATTGCTTTAACCACACGTTAAGCTCACGGTCGTGCCAGTTTCGCTTATTATGAACGGGAAAATGCATGTCAAGCTCTTACGCGGAATTTAGCTTTTTGTTGGCGTTTGGCGTGTTTTGAAAGCCATGACCTTCTTCAGTCTCGGCATTACAATAGAAAATGTTTTTAAAAGCCAATCGAATTATCTTGAGATCTTCTGGGTAACTGAAACTTTTCGAGCATTATTAACGAAAGTAATCAGGCCGAAATTTCCTGAAGCCAATTAATTACAAAGACGGGACTTTAGGATTAAATATGTCTAACAAAAAGCAAAATGGATTTTATCGTAATATCAATTGCTCTTAAGGAAAAAATTGAATCAAATACCAAAGAATAAAAATGCTTAAAAAAATTCTCAAGAGAGAATTGTGTATCTCTCTAGGCGTTACTGATGATTACTTAAAATGGTATTATTTGTCCATTCATGTGCATAACCTCCCTGTAGCCATAATACAAATTGTTTGTCTGGGCTAACTCGCGGTAATGAAATTCTTTACCTGTCACCCTATCTGCCTCTTAACTGCCATATTCGTATTTGCATGTCACAATAATGTCTGCAATATTCGGTAAACGAAACAAAACTCATCGAATCAAACATGTACATGCCTAATTGTATTTCAGAAAAAAAGCATTTTTTGATTGTTTGCTCTCGATTTAAGAACTTAAAATTCATGCTTTCGTTATGTAAGAAGAAAGATTTGGCGTTCACTATCAAATGTTCAGTTCGCGTGATCAACTATATGTACTTTTTCGTCACAACGAGCTAAGTTATGCACATGAAGGTTGTAAAGTAACTCGAGCGTGGAATAAACTCACGGAAAATGGCTGGCGCTTTAACTGCAATTCCTTGTTAGTTTTGTCACCTTTTGTGTACGGATGAGTTTTAAAAATACCTTAAGGAAATCATCAACTGCAAATGATCGCGTTAATAGGAACTCTTTCTAAAGGGCACAGTAATCTTGGTGGCGGTATGGAAGTTGACAAAACACCGTCGCTGATTTGCAATAGAGCCGTTTATAGGCTAACTCTACGGAAACATTTTGCATTTAATCGCTCCAACAGATCTTGAGTTAAGATTTACTGCCGGTAAGTATAGAGTTAACAGTCGTGTCATGCTCGCAACACAAACAGACGCGAATCGAGTTATAGTCGGCACGCCTGCTAAACTTCACGGACATGATTACTTACTTACCGTACGAAATAAGCGTTCGATTTCGTTTCTTCAGCGTACTGATTTCTTTCTCCTCCCACAACCGATCAAACTGCAACCGATGAGTGAGTGAAGTAGGGTGTATATAAACACTACTGGTACTGTTGATTAAACTTGAACTTAAGACACGTCCACAACAATTGTAATAAAGGGCTCTTTTTGTTCGACGATATGACCTTGTGGGTCATTGAAGCTAATTTGAGATCTCACTGGAACCCAAACTACCAGGCCGTGCATGTCTGATCTACACGACCCATCACATTTTGTCTCGAGGGTGTTAAGGCTTGATAAAGACCAGCGCTTGCATTGTAATGTCTCTATTCAACGATTAGATTATTTTAAAGAAGAAGAGGATATCGAGGTTTGGGAAGGATGCTATGACAACAGTTTACGAGGGTTTAAGAGCCGAGTCCTTTATTTTCGCAATGGGTGGCGTGTATTTCAGCTTTTCTTATCTATTGGTCTTCACTCTCTTGGTACAGACTGCAACATCATTACTTTGTAAGAAGGTTTTTTTGTGTGTGTTTGTTGTACTGAATTTTTTTTTATCAAGAATTTATCAGTGATTGGCGAACCAAATTTTGTTTTCTTATGCGTAATCTCTCTCCGGTGTAGGTCGACTTCGTAGACCAACGAGAACGCAGAATTTGCTTCAGAAAACAAGTCTAATGTTTAATTGATTCCTAAATTTATGAAATATTTCTTGTTGAAGACCCTCAATCCTCCAAGAAAGTGTCGTATTCCGTTGACTTGAAATCGTCCATCGTTTCATCAATGGACTACCATGTTCTCTATTTCATGTTTTTTTTCTTGAGATTTTGGTGATGATTTTTTGACAAATTATCTTCAGTGGGTCGCAAGAACAACAAGAAATTCAATAAAACCCTTACACACGGTTTCTTGGTAGATAAAATTAAAGAAACAACGACGAACAGAAATTAAGAATTTGTTCATGCTTAGCGTGCGTATGATCGAGTTATGGATGCACGCGGGAAGTTTGGAGAGCACGAAAAATGCGTAAGATTAGCTCGAGGCGCAGCCGAGAGCAACTCTAGCTTTATGAGTGCTCTCCAAACTTCCCAAGTGCATCCATAACTCTATATACGCACAGCTAAAAGTATGAGCAAATTCTTCAATAACAGAGCGACAACAAGGATCTGCGCGAAGAAGCAAAATTTACTGCAGCTGGTCTTCTGACAAATTTGCGAAACTTGCAACTTGCGAGTTTTTTTCGGCTTTAATTTTGTTGCTTGTTGGATCAGGACCTAAAAAGTCAATGCCGATAGAAAAATTAGGCAGTTTTTCGCTGGTTTCTTCCATATTTCAAAGAGAAGGAAAACTGCACTGCAGCTTAACAAGACGGAAACTCTGAAGCCAGGTGAAAAAATGCTCACGTCATCTTATTTACGCACGGGCGTGTGTAAATAAAGACTTTGTTTATAGCGGCTCAATAGGACTTATATAGGGCTTTATAACGCTATGTTATAAAGACAGTTTGTCGAAACTTTAGATAACTTGAACCCTTTGGAACCAGCGTCCCTTCGTTCGTGAAACGCCTTTCGCAGAAACCTTCCGTTACCGAAAATATTCCCTGTCCTGAAGAGGTCTAATGAATTGGGATTTTTCTTTTTAACAATCCCAGACCATAGTCAATGAGTCCGTTCCTGTATCCTGATTTTGATATAAACTCCAAAAAGAACATGGCGGCGTTTGCGGCAGTCCAAAATTCATCGATCTACGGCTCAGAAAAATTGCTATTCAAGCTAATGGACGTTTCTCCTTGGAGGTAAATATTTTTAAGGATTAACGAAATACAAAACAAAACTAAAAAGAAATGCACAGAGAACAAGCTCGTGTTGAAACTGTGGCACTGATTCAAACCGTGTCATGAAGGTGAGAGTGGAACTGCTTGCCTTCCATTTGACCCCTCCTCCATTTGTTGTCTGTAGACTTCTTTATTATTCTTGTGATCATCATATTATGCAAAACAACTCTAGCTCTGAGCAAGCAGAGAAATTGGTATTCAAACCAATTCTAACCCATATTTTACTACTAGTCTACTACTACACTAAGTGAATTGGGAGAGTTAACTGATCATACATGGCTGATCATGTAAGGGGGTTAGTCTCTAAAGAAACAGAGGTGCTGCATCGGTGGGAGAGTGTAACAGGGTAACTTAGTATTATCAACTGAGTTGTTAATGTAAATTGGCCAGCGCAGAGTTTTAAAGATGACGTCTCGAGCGTTAGCCCTTCATCAGAGCTCATCGTCATTCGCTCTGACAAAGGACTAAAGCTCGAAACGTCAGCTTTGAAATTAAACTTTTTACGGTACCCTATTCATATTATCAACTCAGTTGATAATACTAAATTACCCTGATTATGTTCAAAAGCAAAATTCTTCTTCTCACAAGACACCACTACCACAAGGAATGGACCATATTGATATCACTCTAAAGATGGCATGCTTGACGTTTTGGATTACTTAGTTGCCACCTCATACTCCAGACTCTGGAGTATGAGGTCTGCAAGAATCTTAACTCTTATTATAAATGGATGCTGGTAAACTGTCTGGAGGTTAACCTGTGATTTATTTACTTGCCCATCCAGCATGGGGAGTGGCAATATTTTTCCCTCCCCCTCCCTCTTAAGGTGGCTGGTATCAACAAACTGCCCAATCATCGGAGAACAAGTTGCTGTTAATTTTCGAAAATTTAAACAATATGGCTCTGAAAACCCCCCTTAAATTTTTTTAAACTTTAACTCAAAAAGTTGCATCTTATTTTTTAATTATCAATTGATAATAAAAATGATAAGATGCAACTTTTTTGAGTTAAAGTTTAAAAAAATTAAGGGTGTTTTTAGCAGGCCATATTGTTGCTATGGTAACCTATTGTGCCAAAATTAACAGCAACTTGTTCTCCGATGATTGGGCAGTTTGTTGATATCATGATTTTGGCGTCAACTGGTATAGAATGGTTATAATGACCCATCAAACTCTAAGTCTTAAAAAGTACTGGAAACTGTAACCAGCCACCTTAATGGTATGTAAACCAGGTTTAATTATGTCCTAAGCTTGTCCTAGTGATAAGTCAGTAATGGCAGAGATCTCAATCTCTAGTTATCCGAAATCTGGAGATAATTGATTTTGTATTACATTTCCACTCACCCCCTTCCTGTTAAATTTGTTCTTAAGCTACTCTGTGTCAGTCTCTCTCCATACTTAACAGCCTCTCACCACATCAAAGGACGAGATATATTTCCTCAAAGTAAATCAGTTACTTTTCTCGTCCTTCACTTTACATGTTCTTCTAACATTATGGTCTATTTTAATCAGATACTTTATTTTAGTTCATAAATAGATTTGTCGCTATACCAAGTAGTTCTAATTTCTAATCTTAGGTGCAATTTGATGTTTTGTACAAATCTTTGCTCTTAAGCTGCTTACTGTGTTCAACCCACAATTTCACAAGAGCTCCCTGTTTGCTGTGCTACCTTTTCACATATCTCTCCTTCTTCACAGTGTTTTCTGTTACTGTGACTCCATTTCAAGTGAACCAGGGCTATCAGAGCTGTCTGTTCCAGCTCATCTGCTGTTCAGAACAGGTGAATAAAATGGCTTGAAGTATTGGAAAATCATTTGGAAAGGGGATGGAGCATGGTGATTGGGAAATTTCCATGCATCATGGTGAAAGTACAGTATGCACATATGAATGAAATTCCTACCAATCCCAGTTTGTTTATAAGATAAATCAATTAGTGGCGAGTATATAAGTAAAGGCTTTTTACCTGATTCTCTCTGAATGACAGGCCAATCACTTGTTGTTCACTTATAGCTAGTGAACATTAGGTTTATAAAGCTTTTGATTGGCTTGCTGATTGACAAGCTGAGAGCTGTGCCACTTCATTGGCTAAGAGACTGGCCAACTGATGGATTTATCACTTGATTGATTGATCCAATGAATGACTGAAAGATTGTTTCTTGATATGCCTACTAATTGACTGACAGGCTGAAACTTTCCCTATGAAGTTGGTTCCCATTTTAGGATTTGAATTTAAAGAAGCTGTGACACAAGATTTAGTGTAGTAAATTTTACAAAAAAAAATTTCACAAGATCAGGAATTTTTGACTTAGTAATTACCAGTAACCTATCACTTGATACTCTTAACTTTGATACGATGCTTGTCCATGAATTGACTGTTTTTTTTTTTCAACCGGAAAGGTTTTTATCTTGATTGGTTTTTTTGTTGATGGACCACGAGGCCAATCACTTCATTGACTTACTTACTCAATGGCTGATTGTGAGGTGTGCTGTATGACTGTTTCTTTTGCCAATGAAAGGCTTATCACTTGACTGGCATAATGACCAACTGACCGATTGGTTTAACATTTGACTGGCTGTGACCATCAATAGGTTTAGAACTTACTGAAAACTGATGTTTGAGTGAACATATGCAAGGCTTATCAAATGGCTGGCTCACTGGCTGACTGACTTCATAACTGACTTCATAACTGACTTACTGATAGACCAACTGACCATCTGAATGACTGACAAACCCATTCAGCCAATCATTGACTGACTAACTGACTGACTGATTAACCAACTGACTGTCTGGAAGACTGACAAATCCACTGACTGACTAACTGACTTACTGATTAACCAACTGACTGTCTGAATGACAGACAAACCCATTGATAGTCTCACTTATTTATGGAACTATAGTTGTATATGGTAGAAGATTTACCCCTTGAAAGAATGGTAGGCTTAAAGGTTAATTGTCTAACTCTTGAACTGACTGCAAACTTTTTATTTAACTGGTTGGAATATTGACTAGCCAAGAGGCCGATGACTCGATTATTCCAGTGATTAGCTAACTGTGAGGCTGATAGCTTAATCTTCTAACTTAATGATGTATCGATTGGCTTATCAATTTATTGGTAAAATGAGTGAAAAAACTGGTCAGGTTAGCACTTGAGTGGGCTATTGATTGACTAACTTCTAGGCTCATTACTTAATTGTCCAATTTAATTGATTAATTGATAAACTCAACAATTGATTGGTTTATTACATTCATTTGGAAATAACTGGTGAACCTTGTCATCTGATTGGCTCTCATTGGTGCGATTCATTCACGAATCGCACCATGTTTTGCTCTAAATCGCAACATGTTTTGCTCTAAATCACATCTTTTCCTCAGCCAATGAAGAAACTTTATTAAAAATGCAACAAAAAATCGCTTGTT